TTAGTCGTATTAAAAATAATCGAGAAGAATTTAAAAAAATTCTCGGTGTTGATTGATTTTTACAGTTTTTTTTTAGGTTATTTAGGTGCTCCCCAGAAGTCTTTACGGTCTTATCACGGAGCACCGCGGGAGAGCATTTAACTTGAAGTTTACGCTTCCTTCCTTACCAATGTCATTTATTGGGCTAGAGCTGGCGTCGAACCTCGGATCTCTGGGTTCTGAGCCATAGGTCCGAGTTCTAACCACTGCGCCACGGCTGCTCAAAGTTCAAAGACGAACTTGCTGAACCCGTATTTCAGGCCAAAACAGTATAACTTATCATATAGGTTATCACTTTATTATTACTTTTATTAAATAAGAGTTTTGCTTTTAATGATATAATACTGAACAGTTATTTTGCAAAAAACTTAAGTTTTTCAAAGATTTAGATGTTATTATTGTTTAGTCATTTTTATTCATATAAGTCATGTAGTATATACAAAATAAGTAGAAAACTATTTAGTCAAATTTTTTTTTACTATCTTTCGTTATGGTTTTAATTCATTGTTTTAGTTCTTCATTTGTCATGCGTGTATTTTAGATTGAGCTTCATAACCTTTTTGTTTTTTTTTGAAAGAGGTGGGGGGGGGGGGGAGGGGGAGGAGGGGGTTTGATGGTAAAAACTCAACCTGAAAAATAATGGATAGAGTTTTTTATGCAGAAAAGCAATTAAAACATTAATGTTTTTTTCATTTATTTATTTATTTTAATTTATTATTTTATCTAATTTTATTTTATTTAAATTTTTTTTTTAATATGTCTTCTTCTTGCCCCTGCTATTTGTATCTATATTTTGCTTTACGACAAATACAAGGCGGCCCATTTACTTGGGAATTAGATGTTAATTATTAAATTGGAAAAGAGAAAGATCTGTTAAACGCCAAAAACAATTGAAGATTGAAATTATTTAATTTAGGAATATAAGCAGATCATTGTCGCAAAGATCCACTCTATTTAAAATCATAATTGTTGATAAAAATACAAAAAACGCTTTCTACATAAGATTAAGGTAATACAATCTTAAAAAAATTTAAGAGCAATTTAACGCATAAGTTTTATCGTTTTTTAAAGATAACTTTGTATTTTTTTAAGATTGTATTTTTTAAAATACAGTTATTGTTTTAAAATTTTAGTTATGTATAAAATATATGTAAATAATATGCTCTTCAACATGACAAAGTGTTATTCAAGGGGAAGAAATAAGGTTAGTGAGCGAAATAAAGTGATCAAATTAAGTTATAAACAAATTAGAATAACATCTAATTATTGCAAAGAGAGCATAATTAAAAAATGCAGAAGAAAGAAAAAAGGAAGCGCTAATGATTTCGTTGAAGTATTTAGCAATATATCAGTTTTAGAGTCAAGACCATCCACATATGTAGCATCAAATAAGAACCAGTAAGAAGATAAATAGCAAGATCGTTTATATTTAAGTTATTTTTTCTTATTTTTCAATTGTTCAGTCAACTGCAATGACGGTGCAACAACAAACATTCATTTAAACAACAACAAGTAATCAGAAGGATGAATTGGGTTTGCCAGTTACAAGAATTTGCAAGTTGAAAAAAATTGCATATGATCAAATTTAAATAAATACAGATCTAACGTTTTCGTTTAATTTACTAGTCTTACTTAGGAAGAACATTGGACAGAGTTAAGTAGAAGAAGCTGAGGAATGATTGACTAAAGTCTATCCTGAATTTACGCTAGGATATTTCGAATTTAAACTAAAATATGCAACTATCAATGAATAAAGATGTTTTCTAACATATTTTTTCAATGATAGTGAAAAAAGCACAACATTAACAACAAACTAATAAATAATTATAGAACAGAAAGAATCTAAGTCTTCCAAACTGCCGGAAAAATTTTGCTAGACTTTTACGACAGTTGCACATTTGACCAGCTAGTACTGGATGTGTTGAACAATTTTTCTCATCTTTTGGCATTATTTGGAAAAAAAATTGGAATCATTTAGGAAAAAAAAAGCTGAAATGCTTGTACGAATTTACAACTATTTAAGATCAAGATATACAATTGCTGATGACTAAATTGTTAGATGATTTTGTTTTAAATTTTTAAGATTGAATATTACTGCTCTAAGTAAAATAAAGTTTTCATTTATGACTCATTTAATGAATTTATAATTTACATTTATGACTTCATAACTCCTTGTTTTATTGTCATTAGGAAAACTGTTGAACAGCATTAAATCTTGAGTTTTTATGAAAATTAATTTATGAATGAATAAAATTATAAATAAAAATAATTTGAGACCAAAAACCCATTAAGTTGGGTTTTTGATAGATTTTTGCTCTTGGATTTTCGGGTGGATTTTGGTTGTGTTTTGGGGTTTTGGTTTTCGGACCCTGCTTGATTCTGAGCAATAACTGCAACAACTGCGCCACGACTGCGCCACAACTGCGCCACGACTGCGCCACGACTGCGCCACGACTGCTGTAAAGTTATTTTGTATTTTCACAAGTAATTGTTACAAATTGTTCCTTATATGGGCTAATTTTATGTATAACGCCTAATTGTTTGTTTTATTTATAACCACGCATAATAATTACGTATTTGACTCTAATAATAATAGTTATGATTTCATTTAATTTAACAATTGTTTTGTCAAAATAATCACTTTTAATGAAATTGAAGTAGAAGGCTAAATTTTATAAAAACAAAAAGTGGTTAAACACTTTTTCTAAATTTATTTTATGCTAATTTCAAATTGATTAATACTTTTTTTCATTATAAATATTTAGACTTGTACTTCAATTTCAATAAAAGTGATTATTTTGAAGATTATTTCAAAAAACTAGGAAGGGGTCCAAAATTATCTTTTTTGAGATTTTGTGTAGTGTAACGCGTTATACTACACAAAATTTCAAAAAAGGTAATTTTGGACCCCTTCTCCCTCCCCCTCCCCCTCCCCCTTCCCCACTTATCTAATAGCTTGCTCTGATATCCATAAGCATGAAATTTTTAAAGAAGTCATTTGTGTGGCATTGTTTCAAATGCAAAGTAAATAAAAATGTCAACGAGGTGTCTACACTGTCTCTAAGAGAATTTCCCGAGAATTTATCAGATTTTTGATGTACAAATCTGTGTTAAGACTTTGAAATGAAATTGTGTATTGCACAGTATTTTGTTATTTTTTCTTTTACAAATTTTCTCCATTATCTTGTACTGTACAGAAGCAAGAGAAACTACAAGCTGTGAGCTTCTTTACTTTTTTAAAAATAGGCGTGGCATTTGATATGCTCCAGAAATCTGGGAAATCTCCAGTTTAGAAAGAATATCTAAGAATGAATGCAAGAGGTGATACAAAAGCTTTTGCACAGTTTTTTACAGGTTGTTTTATATAAAGATTGGTTGGTATTACATTAGAAACTATTTGTACTGAAATTGCTGAAAAACCTACTTAACTCCAGACAAGCTGATAATGAATTTGAGATTTATGTGTGTTTTTGTTTAAGTCTGTATTAAAGCAATCAGGATTGTTGGTAATAATGAGGTCAAACGTGGGACTTGGTGTAGCATTGGTATTGTTGCAATAAGTTGGGAATGTTACGTGTTAGGCACTCTTGCAAATTAATGTCACAGGGACGTCGGCTACTTACATGAGCATTTGTTGCTCACAATCTTCCTTATCGCATGATTCATAACTGGCGTAGCTAAAATTAAAGTCACCATACATGACAATTTTTGACCAATTTAATTATATCAGTACATGTTGTACTGCTTTGATGGAGGCCACGATTTGCGTAAGTTTATCATTATTTTTATCTTTTTGGGCAACACATGCAACAAAGAAGTAATAATTCTTTTTCAATATTGATTATGCGCCAGATTTGTTCCACAGATGACAAGGTGAGTGTGACGCAACTGACATTGTTGTCAACAAGTCCATCTATGATGTAGATTGCAACACCGCTTCCTTTATTGCGATCTGTTTTGTGCAGCTGATTGCGTGTTATGACAATATCTAAAATATAACTGAACCAGATCTCAGAAAAAAAACATCACTTGTGGCCATTCAGATTTCTCGGTAGAGATATGTCTAGCTACAAGTTCATGACGCTTGTCGTTTCTCAGTGAGTATGGGTATTTTGGGCATGTTTTATTTGGTCTACGAAAGTTGCCAAGTAGTCGGTAATTGCAAGTGTGATGATGATTGCAATTGTAGTATGATCTTTGAACTAAACTGGGAGGAGAGAGGAGCATAAATCCCACATAACTCACCCCCTCCCCTTTAAATTTATTTTGAAGTTTTATTTGATTTTCATTAATTTGTAATTTTTAACTAAGTTTTGATAGATAACCCACAATTTGTGGCAATATTTTAGTGTTATTTCACCCCATATAAAATTTATAACCCCTCAAATTGAGGGGGTTTAAACTTTATATGGTCATAATTTTTGAACACTAAAATAATTTACAATGAAATTTAAAATTTATTGATGAATATAAGTCAAGTTGAAAAAAGTACAAAAAATATTTCATCAACTTGTTGCTCTCACATTTGGGGCAGCGTTGCTAAGATTTTAGGACTTCTTGTTCCCATTCTCCTATCATAGTAATATTTTTATAAGAAGAATGTTTTCGTCATACATATGAACGTAAAAAAGTTTGGAATATAATTTTTGTTTAAAAGTTAGTTATTTCAGACATTTAAAAACCTTCCTTCGCCACTGCTAAAACATATTTACTTTTTGAAAATAATAATAGCTTTGTGCAGGTATGGAAAAAAAAAAATTGGACATTCTTTTGTAAGGAACCGTCTCGCTATGCAACCTTGCTCACTTTACAAGTAATCGTGACGTACTGGTTAGTGCTTCAAACCCAATAGACCCTGTTGCCGTGACGGCAAAAGCTTAACTGAGTCAAATGAAACTTAAACTTATTGACTTGCTTACACCATAAGATGCAAATACACGGAAAACGATTTTAAGTTAGCGCAACGTAAACAAATCTTGGTCATTCAAACTTTAAGATAAGCATTGTGGGTTTATTGTTTTCGTCGTCTCTGATAGGGGAAACAAAATGGCACTCATCTCAACGTGTCAACTGCTTCTGTTAATTCTTTTGGATATCTTTGTTTCTTTAAGTTACGGAAAGACCCTAGTTTTACTTGATAATGCTAGTATTAAAGAGACTCATTCTATTTTTTTCAGCAAACTTTCTGGTAAGAATTTTTGTTAAAAATTGTTTTTGCCTTGCAATAATTTTTGTCCTAATTTCTATTCGATCATCGTCATTTTTATTTTAATAACAGTTTAAAGTTATTTTACATTGTCCTATTTTTAAAATTTATGATTCAAAGTGTTCAAAATACCTTCACTTTAACATATGTTGAAAATTATTTGAATTTATTGACTAAATTAAAAGTTGATGTAAGTTACTTTTTTGTAATTTTTTATTAAATTTGTAAAATTTGTAAAAAAATTAACTGATTTGTTTGTTAAAGTAAATTCAAATAGTAGAAAATCTGATAATTCTTCTTTTGCTACTACATTTATTGTGCTTAATTATGTTTGGCAAGATTTATATATATATATATATATATATATATATATATATATATATATATATATATATATATATATATATATATATATATATATATATATATATATATATATATATATATGGCGCTATTTAACTTTCTCATCCCCCCCTCCCCTATTTTTATGATTGATTATTATAGAATACATTATACTGATTCTGAATCATATAAAAACATAGGTCTAAAAACTTGAGGAAAGTACTCTAATTTGATGTTAAAGTATAAAAATCCACATTAAAAACACTAATATTCCACCATCTTTTTAAAAACATTTTAACTCTGTTTTCAAAATTTAGGAAATTACTTTTTTAACTAACAACCCGGTTTTTATTGTCATTTTCATATTTTAAGATGTACATACATCGACTGATAAATAGGGATTGGCACAATTAAATGTACATGCATCAACTGATAAATATGAATTAGCGCAATTAAATGTAGATACATCGACTGACAAATAGGTATTAGCGTAAATAAATTTACATACATCTACTGACAAATAGGAATTGGCGCAATTAAATGTACATAATTTGGGTCAGGGTTTGGTTGGGGCAGGAAATCAATAAGAAATGCGTTTTAAATTGAAGCGTCAATAGAAACCAGGTTTTTTTAAAGTTGTTATTGAAAAAGAATTTTATCATTACCGAGTATGACGAAAAGCTGGTTTAGTTGCGAAAAGCTGGCCAGATTTTTTAGTCGTTTTGAGAACATTTCAAAAAGGAAAAAAAAATGCGCAAAAGATTAAGTGGACCAATGGGAGAGTTACAAAAAAAAATTAGGAAAATAAAATATCTTATAATGCAAAAAAACTTGAAGCAAAATAAATTACGCTTAGAACAAATATTTTCAAAACATCACTCTTTTATAATTTTTTAATAAAATTAAGCAACGTTTTTTATATAAAGTAAAATCTTATGATCGTTTAAACAGAAACAAATTTTATTTATTTAACAAATTTTGCAAGTTTTATTTTTATCTAAGCTAAATTATTTTATAAATAAAAAAGTTACTTTTTTTAATACCTATTTTATGTTTCGCGTAGTTTGAAAAGTTTAACATATTTTAAATAATTCTTCTTCGTAAGATAAACAAATTAAATAATTAAATCATTGAGTTACTACAGAAATTAAATTAACTAGATAGAAATCAACTAAAAAGGTTAAAAATACTTTATGACAAGGAAGCGCAACTGCTTCACAATATCGCTGATGATGTTTAGTGAGTAGGCTTTTTTAATTTTAATTAGTATTTAAAGCAGAAAAAAGTATAACAGGTTTTTAAGAATGGCAACTTAAGCAAAAATAATTAGAGTTAGTAAACCAATATCTTTAAATTATTCTTTATATCTAATAACTTGCTATATATATTTGTATTGTGTCGTGACCTCAGGCGCATTGCTTGTTCATCTGCAAGTTACTTTGTATGCAATGTTTGTGTTTAGTAACCAGAAACTTTTTATATGTTTATTACATAATCAGTTTTATTAATTTTAATGATTATTAATAGCTTCATTAAAAATGCAATTATTTTTGTTTACAAGTTAAATCATAAAAATTACTTTAAAAGATTACATTATGATAAAAAACAGATACACAAAATTACATTTACATAAATAATACATACTTTTTAAATAAAAAAATAAGAATATACTAATAAAATCTATAATTTATAATAAACTTTCAAAATTTTGACAATTTAAATAATATATATTTTATTTTTGTAAACAAATAATAATAGTTTATAAGATTTACGGCTTGGCAAATGTTGATCCGAGAATAAGATATAGTATTGAAAATATTATCTTAAAACAATTTATGCTAGAAATCTCAAAATGTAAGAATACATGAATAATACTAAGTCTGGTTAAAATATTTTAAATTATAAAAAGTTACATATTTGTTATAAGCTCTATACCATCCCAAACTAATGACGTTTTTTCAATGTATTTTTGACATAATATACATAGAAAATACATCAAAAAAGCAGTGTTTTCTGGGCTATTATATAGTATATAGCTTAACTAAATATTATGAAAGTTACATGCTATATAGTTTAATTATATACTTTAGTTATATTCTAAATTAGTTATTATATTATAACTTAAAAACAAGTATAAAATTTAAATACTATAAATAAATGCATTTTAAACATGTAAACAATGTAAATGTATGTAAACATACTTTTATATTTGTGGCTTATAATTTAATAATAACTAATTCACTCCCAACAAGGCTATAAACAACCACTATTTAGCTGGGAGTTACTAAAAAACAAATCTGTTGATAAAAGGCCTAATAAAGTTGAAGGTTGTATGAGTATGAGTCAGGAAAACATGATACACATTTTTGGACCTTGTCTAGAAGAGGAAGAGCATCGTTAGAAAAATCGGTCCAAATATGACATACAATACAGTGAACATATAAGAACAAATAAGAGAGTAGAAGTAGAGAACGGAATCAGAAGTAAGATGGCTTGCGCAATAAAGTTTGACATAAAGGGGTTACCATAAAACATAGATAATTTTTTAATTCATAGATAATTCAGTAATTTTTTGCTGATCTCAAACACTTTTAGGTTGGCAGTTAGGTCGGCATTGTTGTGCTGACCCTAATTCCAAAGGCTGTATATGTAAATAATAAATAATTTTTACTTTGGGGGAGTGGGGAAATTTATTGTAACCTAATTGTTACTTTTTTAAAAATTTGTTATAATTTTTTTTTTTTTTATAGATCTTGGACATGAGCTAGTTTTCAAAAATGCAGATGACCCAAGTTTAGCTTTAATTAAACATGGAGAATATTTGTATAAACACTTGGTTATATTTTCACCATCTGTTGAAGGTGATTAAAAACTGTGTAAAATATATATAATACTTTTTAACATATTTATGTGAACATATTTTGATATATATATATATACATATATATATATATATATATATATATATATATATATATATATATATATATATATATATATATATATATATATATATATATATATATATATATATATATATATATATATATAAAATCAGGGCTCAAATTAACGCAAAAACAATAACGCTCACAACCTCCCCTCCCCTCCCCCCTCCCTTCCTCCCCTCCTTATACCTTGCGTCGCTTTGCAGTAATGGGGGAGGGAGAAAAGTTGCGTTAGTATATAATTGTAACTTTTGTACGTAAATGTTCTATTTTTAACATATTATCTCTCATATTTAAATATAATCTTATAATTTTCTTGTTTGGCAGAGTTTAAAATAGTGTAAGTTACTGTTATTATTTACAACTTAAGTTATAACTTAAAGTTTAAGTTGCAGTTGTAATAAGCAAAAACGTTTTTAATACTATCAAGATATTTCTTCAAGTATATTTTTACTTAACATGATACTTAAAAAAGTAAAAGTAAAAGAAAAAGCAACATTACAATATCTAAACTGTCAAAGAAAACTATTTAATACGTTCATGCTGACGTTAAAACACGTGTTAATTTTAATTGTTAAAAGCTATAAAAGCTTAAAACAAACTTCAAAGTTGTTTTAAAAATATAAAGAGCCTGGGTTAATGTAAAACAGATCCGTGACGCTTTTTGTGTTGATTTACATAGTTTATAAAATAAAGCGCGTTTAAAATAAAATGAAGCAAATAAATAAAATTGATCTAGCTAGATCAATTAGGTCTACAGGTGCAAATAGGTCTATAGGCGCAAATATGAAGTTTTGTTTTAGTTTACTAACTAGCTAGTTAACAAACTAAAACTAAACTTCATATTCGCGCCTATAGACCTATACAAGTTTATAATCTATAGACCAAACAAAGCAAAAAAACATTAGATACCATGTCTTTTATAAATTATCGTTTCTTGATTAAGCGTACTATTAAAAAATTTAATTATAATTAAGTTGATCATTCAAATGGTTTTTAAGCTGATGTTTTCATTCAATTTTTTTTTTTAATTGTTTTCCAAAAAAAATGAAACAAAAAATTTTGTTTAATAAATCGACTTATATTAAGTATAAGAATATGCTTAAATTATTTTTTTAGAAAAAAATTTTTAACAGAAGTAAAATAATTTATTAAATTTCATTTAAATTTTTTATAATTTTTATTTTAACTTGCAATTTGCAATCACTGCTTTGATGTTTGCAATAGAATATTTCTACTTTTAAAACTATTTTCAAGAAAAAATATTTAATTCAAAATGTTAACAAAATTTACGATTTACGAAAAAAAACTTTCTTCATTCTCCCTTGTTTCATCAAACTTTTTTTCAATTTTTAAATTTTTTTTTCAATTTCAAATTTCAATCACAAAATTATTGGCAAATTTTAAGGCTAAAGTTCTCTTGTTCAAATAGATTTCTTTTTAAATAAAATTCCCGAAAACAACTTGCATATTTATAGAAAATGTTTAGTCTAGATGTCACTATAAATAAAATGAAAATATAAAAAAATGGTGTCTCGTTTTTCATATTCTATTTGACAATTTTTGTTAAAAAAATAATTAGTTAAAAGCTTATATTATGTGTTAACAACATGTAAGATCTAAATTAAAACATATCTATGGCTAACTTTTGCGAGTATATTAAATAAATTAATATAATTGTTAAATTAATACTTAAATAACTGTAATCTTAACTTAACTGGTTGTTTTGATTTAGGTTATAAGTTCATTTACTGTAATATACTTTATCCATTCAGTAAAGTTAACAAAATATAACTTCAATAGTTTCAAGGTCATTAAAAACAAAAAATGTGAAAGCAAAAAAGTTGCTGGTTTCTTTTAGCACAATTTTACTAATAGAAATTTTATTTAATAAAAACAAATTAATATATATTTTATTATACTTAAAGTATTAAAAATAATTATATGAAATTGTTTATAAAATAATAATTTAAATCATTATTAATAAGTTAATTTGGAGCAATGTTTTTTTTAAAAAAAGATAAAAATGTTTAGTCAAAAAAAATAGAATGAAGAAAAAATTCTTTTTAATTTTTGTCTTTTTAATTTGCTTCTAAGCAGAGATTTAAAGTAATTTAATTTAAAAAGTGCGTTGAGTAAAAATCTCCGCGCGAAAGAGCAAGATCATGCGCGCAAGGGTTAGAAATAGAATAGAAATTCAAGACAAACTTTGCGTGATGTACTTTACTATGAAAACATTACTTTTAAGAGTTGTCAAAAAAAAAAAAAAGCTAAATTAGAAAAATAGTAAATAAACAACTAAAAAATAAACCAATTGCGAAAATATGTTTTAAGAAAAAACTAATTGCGAAAGTGTAAAAAGCAATCACGATAAGCATAATTCGAGCCCTATATATATATATATATATATATATATATATATATATATATATATATATATATATATATATATATATATATATATATATATATATATATATATATACAGGCCTTGTGATGAATAAAAACTGCGCGACGCATAAGCACGACGTGATTTTTGACGACATTAAATTCTTTTTATTTGCTTTTCATATTTATCGACATTAACGGCACCAATTTACATAATTACCGCAAAACTACTTTAAATCATTAATGTAGAAATGTTATTAAAAATGTTTTGGAATGTTTCGTTTTTTAAAATGTAAAAACATTTGTTTATTTTCTCGGCGTTTGACACGTTTTGTCTATACTAAACGAATAAAAAACATAAGCTTTTCAAATAATTGTTTTTTCTTTTTAAAAAGTCAAAGAGTAATAAACTGGAAATTTTAATATTGTACGATTAAAAACTGTGCAATAGCTAATATTTTTACTAGCGATTTTATATAATATTTTATTTATTTATTTTTATTCATTTTCATAAAGAGGTTGATAAGCACAATCACTCGTATTATTAAAAAACTTTAACAAACATTTTGAATAGATTTTTAATGTTTACAAGGAATTTTATTTTTGGTAAAATAAAAAAAAACGTTAGAATAAAAATCTTTTAGCTATAAAAGAAATATTTCAGCAAAAAAATTATTCTTAAAAATTAATATTAAAAATTATTCGAAAAACTATTGACATTCTATTTTTCAGCAGCTGTTCTTGATCACGCTTCGTTGAGTTTTGGTAACTTTTAACAAAAAAGCGATTGTTTTTATTTAAGTAATTTTTTTCGAGTTGCTTTTTACAAAAATTTTAATAACTGTACTTTTTTATTGAATCAAGTAGAATACGTTTTAATATTAATCCTTTTATTTTTTTTTTATTTGCGCCTACCAATTTTTAAAATGTTTTCTCGAAATAACTCTTAAATACTTTAAATTCGTCTAACAGTTAATAAATATTTTTAAATCTATGGAATAATTTTAAAACCTAACAAACCCTGTAAAATAATTATTTAAGTTAAAAATTTAAAACTAAAAGAAAGTATTTATGTTCAATTTTATCGACAACTTTGCTATTGCTGAATAATTTTATTAAAATGCTAGCTTAAAAAGATTTAAACTTTTTTTTTAATCTGAATTTTTTCTACTTGTAAATAATGAGCATATTTTTTTTTTTTTTTTGTAATTCAAACTTTTATATCAACTGCGTGCGGTTTTTAAAATACTTTATTAAATGTTAAAATAATCGTAAATTATTTCATTAAAATTCCGCTCTAAAATATACTCAAACAAAAATTTTTTTGCTTGATGCAAATAGCCCTAGCTACACGCAAAATCGCTCTTGGACGATGTAAAATTCACATCGCCCAACGCTTTATCGCAAGGCCTGTGTATATATATATATATATATATACACACACACACACTTACTAAAACGTGTTTTGATAAGCATTTGCTCACTTTTTCTGCTTACCTTAAGCTATACTGTTTTTTTCGAAAAAGAAGAAAAAAAACGAAAAATGATGAATAAAATGATTGCTTATCCACGTAAACCAATCAAAAAAATATGTTTTAAGAAAAAACTAATCGCAAAAGTGTAAAAAGCAATCACAATTCTCGATCGCGATACGCTTAATTCAAGCCCTGCATATATATATATACACTTACTAAAGCGTGTTTTGATAAGCATTTGCTCACTTTTTCTGCTTACCTTTAGCTATACTGTTTTTTTCGAAAAAGAAGAAGAAAAAACGAAGAATGATGAATAAAACGATTGCTTCCCCATCCCAAACCCTCAGTCTATGTAGCAGCACTCCACTGCAAGTCAGGCTATTTATACATACATCAGTCGATGTATGTACTGAAGCCCCCCAGCACCAGGCTATTTCAGTATGATGTCAAATTGCTTACCTTAGTACGCAATACTATTTGTGTGTATATATATAAATATATATATATATATATATATATATATATATATATATATATATATATATATATATATATATATATATATATATATTGCGCTCGAAATAACAGCCGATCAATGATCGGCTATTTTTAGGATATTTAGAAAAATTCAATGGAGTATAACCTGTTTTTGTGAGAAAATTACATTTGATCTTCAAGCTTTAAAAACCTATTTTGAGCGCTGTAATATATATATATATATATATATATATATATATATATATATATATATATATATATATATATATATATATATATATATATATATATATATATATATATATATATATATTAGTCTGCTCTGTTTGGCCAGCGCTTTTGCACTCAGTTTTTGTGCTCGCCCACATGACTGGAAAAACTTTTTTTTAATGCTGTTTTTATTTTAAAATTAAGAACTTAAATAAAAGTCTTAATTTTTTTTATTATTATTATTTATTTAGAATTTAAATAAAACAATTGTCTTTCAGGTTTTGTTTTAGTTATTATGTTTAATATTTATATAAAATGTTTTTAATTTTTATTGCCTTTTTTAGTTTAATTATTTTATCCTGAATTTAAATAAAACTTGTTTTATAGTTTGTTTGTTTGTTTTTTTTTGTTTGTTTTTTTTTGTTTGTTTTTTTTGTGAATTATTTTGTTTGATATTTATATAAAACATTTTTATTTGTCTTTTTTTTGTGAATTATTTATCTAGAATTTAAATAAGGCATTCATTTTGCTATCTTTTTTTATTTATTTCATTTAGAATTTGCTAAAAGCATTCTATTCGCTGTTATTATTTTATTTGAATAGTGAATAAAGATAGATTTTTAAAATTGCACACTCCAACCTAAAAATGACCATTCTGCCATATAAATATACATATAAGAATATATATATATATATATATATATATATATATATATATATATATATATATATATATATATTTGAATTTAGACATCATGTATGAGAGTATATATTTATTTCTACAGCATAGATATTACAAATCTTTGCAGAGTAGGATTATTGTAATCCTACTATAGTAGCAATTAGTTAATTATTTGTTTTTTTTTTAAGACATATTTTTTCTTGAATTTGTTAACTGTATATAAATTATTATTTGTTGTATTGTATTATTTGCTGTATTGTATTATATATTATTTGTTGTATTGTTTGTAAACTAGTATGTAAATTATTATGTTATAAATATCAATAAATACAAATTTCACTCTATGCTAAATTTATTTTTAAAAGAAAAATTTTTCGCTGGATTGTTGTGACCAGCGTCTTCAGCCTATAAGTTTTTTTTGTTGCTTTTGTTTATACCTTTATTTTAAAATGGCAGTTTTATTTTATGTCAATGGGATGGTTTTAAAAATAAAATATAAACAAAAAACTCTTAAGCAGAAGACGTTGGTCACAACCATCCAGCAAAAATTTCTTTTCAAAAGTAAATTTAGTATCGAGAGAAATTCATATTTATTGATGTTATTGATGTTTATAAAATAATTACAAATATATATATATATATATATATATATATATATATATATATATATATATATATATATATATATATATATATATATATATATATATGGCCGGATGGTCATTTTTAGGCTGGAGTGTGCAATTTTAAAAATCTATCTTTATTTACTATTCAAATAAAATAATAAAAACAAATAGAATGCTTTTAATAAATTCTAAATGAATTAATTAAAAAAAAAAATAGCAAAATGAATGCTTTATTTAAATTCTAGATAAAATAATTGAAACAAAGACAAATAAAAATGTTTTATATAAATATTAAACTAAATAATTCACAAAACAAAAAAAAACAACCAACAAACACACTATAAAAGTTTTATTTAAATTCTAGATAAAATAATTTAACTAAAAATGGCAATAAAAATTAAAAACATTTTATATAATTAAACAAAAGAACTAAAACAAAAACAGAAAGACTGTTTTATTTAAATTTTAATTAAAATAATTAAGAAAAAAATCATCAAGACTTTTATTTAAGTTTTTAATCTTAAACTTAAATAAAGGTTTTATTTAAGTTCTAAATTAGAATAATTAAAATAAAAACAGCATTAAAAAATTTTTTTTTGCAGGCATGTGGGCAAGCAGGAAAACCCTTGAGTGCAAAAGAGCTAAAATATTATTCACTTTTATTGTGGACACGTTTTTTATTGTTGTAATATTTTTTTAAATGCCTGCATTCTATTACAATAAGAAAATATAAAACATTTTTTATAAGCAGTAAAAACCTTTACAGCTCTTTGTTAAATTTTTTTATCAAATAAGTAGTGTTAATAAATAAATAGGTAGCTAGTGCAGGCCTTGCAATGAATAAGAACTGCGCGACGCATAAGCACGACGCGATTTTTGACATCATTAAATTCTTTTTATTTGCTTTTCATATTTATCGACATTAACTGCACCAATTTATTTAATTACCGCAAAACTACTTTAAATCGTTTATGTAGAAATGTTATTATTTAAAAATGTTTTGGAATGTTTCGTTTTTTAAAATGTAAAAACGTTTGTTTATTTTCTCGACGTTTGTCACGTTTTGTCTATACTAAACGAATAAAAAACATTATAACTTAAATTTAAAAAAGATTATAAAATATGCTAATATTTGATTTTTTTTTTCTTAAATATGTAATTTAAAGTTTTTCAAATAATTATTTTTTCTTTTTAAAAAGTCAGCGAGTAATAAACTGGAAATTTTAATATTGTACGATTAAAAACTGTGCAATAGCTAATATTTTTACAAGCGATACATATAATATTTATTTATTTTTATTTATTTTCATAAAGCGGTTGATAAGCACAATCACTCGTATTAATAAAAAACTTATATGAACGTTTTGAATAGATTTTTAATGTTAACAAGGAATTTTATTTCTATTAAAATAAAATAAAATGTTAGAATAAAAATCTTATAGGTATAAAAGAAATATTTCACCGAAAAAATTATTCTTAAAAATTATTCTTAAAAATTATTCGAAAAACTATTGACGTTCTATTTTTCAGCAGCTGTTCTTGAGCACGCTTCGATGAGTTTCAGTAACTTTT